TCGCCCCCTGTACCAAGTCGATATGAAACTCCACCTACATCTCGGGAGGCACACCCGGCAACTCCTCAGTAAAAACATTAGGGAACTCCCGCACAATCGGGACCTCATCAATCGAACTTTGCCCATCACATAGGCCACAAATCCCCTACAGCCCTGCTGTAAACTCTGCCTCACCCTAGCAGCCAAACAAAATGCTGACTCAGGACGGGTACCCTCACCGTACACTGTAAGTACTCCCCCACTAGGGTCTCAAATCATCACCAGCTGATACTCACAGTCTATAATAGCTCCAAATTGGCTCAACCAATCCATGCTCACTATGACACATACGTCCCCCATCGCAATCGGGACTAGATCGATCGGGAACCCCACACCGAAGATCTCAAGTCTACATCCTCGTATCACCTCCATGGCATACATTGCTCGCTCGTTAGCTACAGTTACTCGCAAAGGTCGACTCAAAGCCTCTCGAAAAATACTGATACGATGACTAAAAGCTAATGACACAAAAGATCAACTTGCTCCCGAGTCAAATAGTACTAAGGAAGGTACATAATTCACAAGAAAGGTACCTACACATAACATAATATAAGCATAATATCTCAAACTCAAATAAATAGAGTGAATAATACATACCGGCCACAACGTCGGGTGATGCGCAAACCTCCTCCGCTATCAACTGGAAGGATCTTCCGCGAGCCTTCGGCACCTCGACCTTTGCTGGCCGAACCTCAGTAGCCCTAGCAGCAGGCAAAAATCCCTGATGTAGCTGAGGGAACTTGGCCTTCCGATGGTCGGTCTGGTTGCAATGGAAGCAAACAGAAAATCCCTTGGGGTAATCCTTCGCGATATGCCTCTCCTTCCCGCACTTGTAGCATACTCCTGCCCTGCACGACCCCTCGTGACTCTTGCCGCACTTCCCACAAGTGCGGCCCTTCGTGCTCCCAAATCTCGAATCAGCAGGCCTGGCCTACTTGGCTGCCGGCTGAGACCGAGTCAGCCGCCGATCCATCCTCTGTGACTCGACCTTCTCCCTAGCCTGAGTCTCCAATTCGATCTCCCTCTTCCGAGCATTTTCCTGGAGCTCAGCAAATGTCTGGTAAGTCAAGTTCGCCACGAACTCCCGAATATCTCTCCTCAGAACACTCAGATACCGGCTCATGCGAGCCTGCTTGGTAGACACCTGCTCAGGGCAAAACATCTCCCTCTCATGAAACTTCCTGGTAACAACTGTAACAGAATCAGTACCCTGCTTGAGGGTCAAGAACTCCTGAATCAACCATTCCTTCTCCACCGGGGGAAGATACTCGTCTCTTAACATGGCGGTGAACCCCTCCCAGGTCACCTCAGAAATCTCTGCCAAAGTGAAGCTCGCCGTCACGAACTTCCACCAATCCTTCGCTCCCAAGCGGAGCTGGTTTAGAGCGAACCGTACCCTCAAGTGCTCTGGACAAGAACACGTGTAGAAACATCCCTCGATTTCAGAGATCCATCTCATCGCAACAATCGGGTCCTGCATCCCATCGAACTCTGGTGGCTTTGTGTTGCTGAACTCCCAAAACAACAACGAGTCACCTCCTTGAGGTCTGGCAGCAGCAACAACAACAGTAGCTGCAACCTCAGTCACTGCTGCATACCGCTCGTCAAAGGTCTCAATCAATGTTGTCTTGATGTCCCCGAACATCTCTGGAATCTCAGCCCAGATGGCAACAAATACCTCCCCATGAATCAATCGACAGATCTCCTCGTCGCTGACACCATTGCTCCCAGGTGTGTGTCGTGTCCTAACCATGATGTCTCTGAAATACAACATAAAAATATCAGAGACTCGATCGAGCATACTTGCACTCGATAAACGCAACCCTACTCGTCCTCCAATATCCAAAGGATTCTTACTTGGACTGCTCACTGATCCGGTGTCTACAGTAGTACGGACCCTATACTACTGACCACACCGCATCAACATTCACCCCAAGTCCTCCTCCTTGGATCCAGGATCGCAATTACTCTACTCTCGCTATGCATTAACTACCCTTCGATAGACCTCTCATGAGCTCCTAACTGCTACCTACTCACTCTCAAGGCATTTCATAGCAGCAATAATCTCCTAGGATAAGGCATCACAAATCAGGCCACTCTAGTCCTAATATGAATACCTAGCCTACTCTAGCATGCATAACATAACATATCATATCTCATAACACATAATATAAGGGTATTTTGGGGATTCCCCGTTCGGACGTTGGCTGACCGTACACACTACTATGCTATTCTCTTTTCAAACATTTTACTCTTTTAGAAAAACTTGTTTTTTTTTTTTAAATCTCTCAAATCCTCAGTTTAAGTTCAAATACGCCCGAAGGTGCATCAGAATCCCTCAAACCAAGGATCTGATACCAACTTGTAACGATGAGATTTTCAAAACAAAATTTTCATTTTTCAACAACCAAATTTATATAAAAATATTCTCAAAAGTATTCCATAATAGTTATCAAATCAAAACATATCCCAAGATCACAAAATCAAATCTCCTCTCTGTGTGTACGGGTCACGCTGGCGCCTTTCCACGGTCCTCGCTAGTACCTGAAACACATAACACAACAACTGTAACCATAAATGCTTAGTGAGTTCCCCAGAATACCACATACAACACATACGCCACTCGAGGATACTGTACGACCCTCCGACCGATGTGTCTCAGCGGGACCCTCCGGTCCCGTAGCTCGTTGGACCCTCTGGTCCGGTCATAGCTCGTTCGGCCCTCCGGCCCGGTCTGTCTCGTTGGACCCTCCGATATGGTCTATGCAATTATATATCATACATACATCACATAACACATAATCTCATACATGGCACACAATCTCATACATAGACATAAGACCTTCCGGTCAACTCATAATACCACTCTAGGTAATGTATAGTGAGAAGACTCACCTCGTGTAACTCGGTAACTCGGAAATCTCGGACTCCGTGAAAATAGGATCTAGCCTCCGTCGAATCATACGAAATAAACACTCGGCATCAACACATTTCCCAAGACTAGACCATTCCCTCTCTTAGCACTCTCAGGATGGTAAAAGACCATTTTACCCCTCTCAAGGCTCAAATATTCTAAAGTTGACCAAACCTTAAAAGTCAAAAAAAGTCAACCTTCTCGAGTATGCGGCGCGTACTAGATCTGTACGCTAATCGTACCCAGCGGCTTCACAGAATCGGGGTACGCGGCCCCTTACGCCGCGCGTACTGGGATTACGCCCAACGTAACTCCCAGCTTTCTCCTCCTCTTCATTCAGGTCTTAAATCGGTTAAGTCTTGCGTCTAAAATCCATATCTGACTTCTCTAACACGACTTAATCCATAAAGTTGGTGACTTTAAGCCTTTGCATGGCTGTGGAAGTCACAAACACCCCAAACACTCTATTTCCAACCTTAAAAGGTCCATATATCATGCATGAACAACCTTTAACAACCAATATTGGATTTTTATCACATAACAACACTAAATGAGCTAGTATGGGACAGATCTCAGCTTCTACGAGCTCAACCACTCAAAAAGCTATAAACTTGGGGACCAAAAACCCTAAAACTTCTCTCTACAAAGCATGAACGGAAAAGATGCAAAGCTTGAAGCTTTTTACCTCAAAAGGGATCTCCAACCACTGTAGAACTCGGATCTACTCTTGCTCTTCCACCTCTAGCTCCAACAATGGCTTCCTCTTCTCCTTCTTCACCTCAAAAAGGTACCTTCAAGCTCAAGAGCACACACACAAGCTTATATACAGATTTATGCACTATAAGGGCTCACTCAAGGGGGTATGGTGGTTGGGCAAGGGACAAGACGTTCCTTTTATAGTGCACAAGCCAGAATTTAGGGTTTGCATCTAGATACATTACGCCCAGCGTAACCCTGGGTACGCCCAACGTACCCGGGCGAGTCCGTGTCCAAAATAAGCGCGTAAGTACGCACGGTGTATGCTTCTTTACGCCCAACGTACTCACAAATCCAACATATAACTTTAAGGAACTCATCTTGCCAACTCTCAAAGTAGAAGGGTCATAAGGCTTACCTGAATTTCGGACTGTTACACAAACCCTAAAAGCTCTTGAGATCACAATTACCATTAGAGGAGGTGGTAAGAAACTCAATCACGTTGTCTCCATATAGGGGAATTGATGCATCTTATTTCTCCAAAGTTTACAATTTGGTTCCCTAAGTTTGCTCATTTTACTAATTTCACCATAAGATCATATTTATGATTTTTAACTTAGATATTGACATAAAAAGTTCACCGTCATACATTTTTATAAACTTGGCGGTCTATATTCCATTAATTGAGTCAACCTTTTGGTCAACTCACGTTGCCAACTTACTATTTTTTCCCTCTATTAAAAAAAATGTTATTATTTTCACTTATAATTTTTTAAACTTCATATCAACTAATAATATGATTATTCTTTAATGATTTAATTAAATAAATAATCTTTTATTTATTTACTTTATTAATTTAAAAATCTAGTCTTAACTTTTTAAACTTACCTCATCCAGCTCCTCTCCAAACTTTTTAAATTCATATCAACTAATAATATGATTATTCCTTAATAGTTTAATTAAATAAATTATAGGATGTTACAAAATGAAAATATAAAAAATAAAGGAATATATTTATAGTAAATACTTTATCTAAAGAATAATAATTTTATGAAAACAAATTGATAAAAAAAACACAAATATATAAAAGAAATTGTAAAAAATGTTTTTTTTTTTTTTTTTTATTTAAATAAAGATATCCTAAAAAACATACATAAAACGCAAATAAATAATATTTACAAAACTATTTTTGAAAAATTGATTCAAATAAAAAAATTTGTAAATATATATATATATATATATATATATATATATATATATATATATATATATTTAAAAAATTAAGTTTTTAAAATATTTTAAAATTTGTAAAGTTTTCTAAAAACCAATTTGGACCAAATTTATAGTAAAAATGGGTCAAAATGTAAAAAGAAAAAGTAAAGAGTTAGTTTCGTAATAAAGAATTAAAATCTAGGTTAAAACGGTAGAAATCAAAAGTTAAGTTTGGAACCGTTTTGTAAGAGAACCGTTGGAACTGGGAAGTTGAAAAGGTTGGGTCGGTGGTGTGTTGGCGCTTTATATTATCCCCTTCGAACTCTTCCATTCTTCACTCTTCCGGCTCTTCTCCAAACTGCCGGAGACTCATCCCGATCTCTGTAACTCCGTTTCACCGAGACCCAAGCAACCACCCCATCCTTCGCAGGACACTCACAACCATGTCTACAATCCAAAGACATTATCAAGGTCTCTGTAAGTTTTCGTTCTTCTCATTTTTCTCTTCTGCCTTTTATTTTAGATCTCTAGGGTTTTTCTCTAATTAAAGATGTTGAAATTTCCTCTGTAAGTTTTCATTCTTCTCATTTTTCTCTTCTGCCTTTTATTTTAGATCTCTAGGGTTTTTCTCTAATTAAAGATGTTGAAATTTCCTCTGTATGTATAGATAAGACAAAAAAAATACAAGCTGTTTTTTTAGTTTTCTTTCTTCCGATTGGGGTTTCTACTATTACCCAGTCTCTTTCATGGTCTTTCCATTGGCGGGTTAAAATCTGTTTTTCTAAGTGCACAAGTTGTATTGCAACATAAAAACAGAAGGAACCTGCATAGTTTTTCTTGATTAAGCGTGTGTTGTAGGCTTTTTTCAGAAGATGTTTATGTGGTTTTGTTGATCTGATCATGTATTGTGTGTTTAGAGACTCCATCACCTAATGTTTATTATGTTTCCTATTTCGTGTCCACTGATTTACATTTACATATACTAATAAGATGATAACTTTGGTCGAAATCTTGGATCTAGTCATGGTTTGAATATGTTGATAATTCTTTTGCTATGGTGTTCAGCTGCCCTTAATCTGGGATGTTCCTCTGTAAGATCATTTAACAAGTCAAAGAAACAGCAATACCAGAAGGTATCTAAGCCTAAGAACCCAAGATTCCTGCACATATGTTCAACCTCCATCTTTTTGATTAAATGCCTGGTAAATCAGTTGAAGCCCAGACTTCAAAATTGAACTAGGAACTTGGATAGGTTGAGATAGAATTTAAGTTGTAAGCAAATGGAGTTCAGGAGATGCTTCATTGAAGAGGATCTAATTTTCCTCTACACATGTTCATATAAGATTTTCTCTCTAATTTTCTGCTTTTGTTAAACGTGCAGACCCCTGAGATTCTTCAGTTGTCAAAGAAGAAGATTAAGGAGAAGCTAAAAGAAGTTGATCAAAATGGTAAATTCTTTTGGTAGCAATTAGTAATTTTAAACAGTACAAAATGAAACTTTATAATTTCAACTAGAGAATAGTACAATTCTTTTATGATATCTGTCAATTGTCATGCCATAAACTATTACATATATCAAAATGGAAAAAATGCCATAGGAACCAATTTTATTTTATTCCATTGCTATAAAGTTTGAAGAAAATAAGAACACTATTACATTGGTTCTTGAATCTTTACTTTAAGTCCTTACAGCTTATATCAGATTGTGTATTGCTCCTTATAAGGCACATAACCCTTTTTTTCTTTTTCATCAATTGCTGCACTGATAAATTGCTACCCTGGATAATGATGTCTTTAATTTTTCTGGATTTGTCTGAGAAAAGCTAGCCTCATCTTTTGACTCTTTATATGTATATGCAATTAGGCATACCATTTTCTGATATCAGCAATAAAGCAGTACTATTTAAATGTTATCTATTAATTTCACGTTAAGCATTCCCTTCTCTTTTACTTCTGTTGTGGAGGAGTCTGGGAGTTTCCTGCTACAGTTAAACATGTCCTTATTGTCAGGTTGGTGGTTTAGGTCCCAAAGGGAATCTTTTTTGCAATTTTGGTCCTTATTTTCATGGTTTAATAAGGCTTTTGGTACTTGGGTTGTCAACTCTAACAACCCAAATGTTAAATTTATGAAACTGACCATTTTGTCTCTCTCATCTTAATCTCTTTCATTTCTATTTTCATCAGAATTTCTCTCTCCTTAAACACTTTTAAATAGAATCTTTTTGAAATTATACTTCTCATTTCATGGTGTCAAAATCCTAAATGTCTTCATTGTCTATGCCATTCCATGTTCAAGGAGCATCAATTTACGCCTAACAAAATTCATCACTTTTCCTAAAAAATAAATGTTCTATATTTTTAAGGAGCATAGCTATTCCAGTATCCCTTAATTCCTGAAAAGATTCTCTAAAAAAGAATATTGTTTGTACTTTTAGTAAGTACTCATTTCACGGTTTCATAACATTTTTGGTCAATGGGTAACTTTAACAACACATGTGTTATAGAGGATCTGGATTTGTTGAGGCTTTGTAGTAGGATAACTATTTGATCCCATAAACTCATTAACTTTTCTCAATTGCAACAGCTGAAAGGTTTGGTTTTGTTTGTGATAGATCCCTAACATGGAGCAAAGAATATGTGCTCTAAATCAGCATGTTGTTTTTCTTTCTTACCTTTTCTATTTGGTTCATAGAAATTTGAAGGATACGGAATGAAATTTGATCCCATCAAAACTCCCTTAAAATATGTTTTCAAAGGATTTTACCAATAATAGCCACTTTACTTGGAACAATGACTGGGAATATTACAATAAACCTCAAACAAGAACTAAAACTCATAAGTTAGCTTTAATAATGGACCAAAAGTGTAACTTGATATTGTTTCTAAGTTTGTGTGTTGTGTATTCTTCTGACAAATTTATGCCTTTCTGTATTAATCTTTTTAAAGGATCAACATGGATTGATTGCTTCTTCTGTTTCCCATGACTTCAGATCCAATTCAAAAGGCAAGTAAATTTACACTTGTACAACCACAAACTACAATTCTAATTAAAATTATCACATTGTGTACACACAGTAAACCCTCATCATTTTATCGCCATAGTTAATGAATCTGTTGTTAAAGACAGGGGAATGTTTTGCTCAACATATCATCATCAAACATGAAATTGCTTGAAACCAACTTGACATATTTCTCATTTGGTGACAGTTGTTCAACCTTTGAATTTAGACACTGAAGACTGCATGGAAAACTCCTTGAGCACTTTATTTAGTACACCTGGTAATTCTTTACACAAGACATATTTCTATTTAGTCAATTCTTTTGTTTACTTAGAAAGTATACTTTTATTGTTTATTGAATTGGGACAACAGGGAAAATAAATTGCAAATGGTGTGGTTGAAATGTAAAAAACAAGTGCTAATAATCATTTCTCTTTTGTGAATAAAAATATTTTTTTATACATGAGAATTTTGTTAAACCACTTCAATTTTTTTGCATGAATCTATTCATTTAGCTGTGATGCTTGAACAAGCATCTTATTGTTACCTTTTATTTCAACCATTTCATCTTATTGTTAGGTTAAGAAGTATGTATTTCTTTTTAGTGATCTATCTGTAAAAGAAATAATTTTCATTATTGAATATCAAATGTAGCTTATTTATTTATTTTTTTTCAATTTTGCTTTTTTCTAATAAAGAAACATGGAGTCATATTCGGGAACATGTCTGTTTTGATATAGGACAGTAAGTTAGTTCTAAATAAAGTTTTATAAAATAGTATTATGCTGAAATGGTTGAAATTACATTATTACCCTCGTTGGACACAGGCGGTAGGTTTTTAGGCATCTATCAAAGCCAAGCAATGCAACAAATTAAATTTGTTGATGAATGCATGCTATGATAGACATGAGGTAAAAAATTTCATTATATAACAAATGTAACCAGTCTTTTTTCATTTTTTGAAATCATGAAAAAACTGTTGTTTCTTTTTGAAATAATAGGGGATTGATTGTATTTGTCATTTGTACAGGATAACTTGGAATTCTTGGATGATATCAATAAGATAAATTTATGTATCTATTAATCAGGAAGGCTTATTGATGCTCAATTACTTAAAGGTAAACAATTTACGAAACTATCTTTAACTTTTTTAGTTTTTCATACTCTGAAGAATGTAATTAATCTGTCTGATATAAAATATCTTTCATTCGTTTTTGTTTTACAGCATCTTAGTTTGTTTCTTTCTCTTACAGTATTCTACTTTAACTTTTTCTTATTACGGAAATGTACTTTGAAAACCTTCAGCTGTCTACCCAATTATATCATTGTACTTTCATTTTTTTTCTTCTTAAAGCATCATGCTTTGAAAGTTGTACCAGATTTTAGCATTTTTTTTTCTTAGTGTGACATTATACTTTGAATATTCTACCCATTTGTTGATTTTTTTTTTTTTTTTTTTTTTGTAAAATCTGATTTTAAGCGTGTCTGGTAGGCTTATTTCAGAATGCGTTTTTGTGGGTTTGTTGATCATTTGAAAATTTTAATGTGTGTTTGGATGTTTTTTGTTCGTCTGGTCGTTTGAGAATGTATTTCAAGTTTTGTTGGTAACTGTTTAGTAAGGCCAAAATCAGAGTGATAGTTCTTTTTCTTATTTATTCTTTTTAATTAGTTTGTTTCAAAGCTTTATGCATTTATTTTCACCATGTTTGGATTGCTGTTTTCTTAGTACTACAAAAAGGTTTGTCTTGGTCTTCAAGGTTATTCACACTGTGAGGTTAATTTTTTTATAGAATGATGAAAACATCTGCATGGTTTCCATCCATAACATAACCTCAAACTTTTTGATTTTGTCAAAGAAAAAAAATTTGAATTCATGTGTTAATATACCCTTGGTCACTACAAATACTATTTTTCGGTACACTGATGCACTTTATTTCCAAGTATTTTTAATTCATGATTCATTAATAATGCAGATAGATAGATCAACAATATCCTAACAGTGGATTTTTAAATGTACTTCATTCCATTTTGTTATACTGATTTCCAACGTCTTATCGTCTCTGTTGTAAAGTACTTATGGAAAGTTGGAGTGAAAAAAAAAAGTTAACCTAAAGATTCTCCAATCATTGGCCACTTTTAAAAGTTTTTATTTTTTATATCGACTAGTTAACTCTCATGCTACTCTTATTGTTATGACAAAAATAGCATGCCACTTTCATTTTTTAAACAAAAATATGCTACTTTTAGTGTTATATCAAAAATAGTATAACATTTAAGGTTTTGGTTAATTATGCAAGCTCATCTAAGGAAGCATAACAAGTTTGTAGTTTGAGGCTGCAAGTGGCTATTTCTTTTGGATTTAGGCTGCATGTTTGTGATGCACTTACATTAATGGGTGATGAATCAAAAGAAGCAGATGTTGCATCTATGATCAAAACAGTGAGCCATAATTCTTGTTTATAAAAGTTGTGGAATTTTGTTGACCTTAACCTCATTACAGGCTGCATGTTTGTGAGGCACTTGCATCTATGATCTTTTACCTCTCAGTTTTGTAGATCATGTAGCCTTTAATCAATTTGTATAGTAATTACAGGTGAATGGCATTCCTCCTGGATGTATTTCATGATTTCTGCCATTTGATTATTGATTTCTTTGCCATATGAATTGTTGGTTTTTTTAGGTGTTTGGTTATTGCAGTGTTGTCATGACTGCAGTGAAGTCATCTGGTTGTGTAAGAGATACTTTTTAATGTTGCTACATTTAATGTTAAGAGGCAAGCCTAATTGTATTTAACAAAATGAGAGACAAACATGGCCATCATCCTTGTCTTCTGATAAAGTGTAAGTTATTTTATGGCTAACTGCAATTGTTTTTTCTTAGCAGTTATTATTATACATTACAAACTGGATTTTTGGAGAAAATATGCAAACCTATAACCAATATATAAACATTTTAGGATTGTAACATTGTTGTCTTAAAACATGAAACATCGTTAACACGTGAGTATGCTCTCCTTGCAATCGGAGCAATTCTGATAACTGGTCTAAATGTTGCTCGCTTGGCTTTGTGTTGGCATCTAATACAAAGAAAATATAAACTTATAGGGATTTTGATGGTCTATCAAGGCTTTGCTGTTTTACCAACTTATAGTCAATGTTCCTTATTATAAAGACTGTTATTACGAAAAGCTGATTTAACCTCTTATTGCTTTAAAATGTGTCTGAATAATATGTTACAGATAAAGATATGCAGCTGAAAATCAACCAAAACTTACAATGAGGAAGGCCAAGTGAGCAATCTTGAATCATTCTTGTTTTATGTATTTCCAGAAATACCCTTCTGTTTTTAAAACGTGTGCTTATTTTTTATTATCTTCAGGAAATGATGTGCTTTTTTAATAAAAAAGATGTTGAATACTGCATGGAAAACTCCTTGAGCACTTATTTAGTACACCTGGTAATTCTTTACAAAAGACATTTTGCTATTTAGTCAGTTCTTTTATTAATTTAGAAAGTGTACTTTTATTATTTATTGAATTGGGACAACAGGGAAAATAAATGGCAAATGGTGTGATTGAAATGTAAAAAACAAGTGGTCAATATAGAGAGGTAATAATCATTTCTCTTTTGTGAATAAAAATATTTTTTATACATGAGAATTTTGTTAAAACACTTCAATTTTTTTGCAGGAATCTATTATTCATTTAGCTGTGATGCTTGAACAAGCATCTTATTGTTACCTTTAATTTCAACCATTTCATGTTATTGTTAGGTTAAGAAGTATGGATTTCTTTTTAGTGATCTATCTATAAAAGAAATAATTTTCATTATTGAATATCAATGATCCCCGAGTGTAGCTGATTGTTCAATTTTGCTTTTTTTTTTTTATAAAGAAACAACATGGAGTCATATTCGGGAACATGTCTGTTTTCATATAGGACAGTAAGTTAGTCCTAAATAAAGTTTTATATAATAGTATTATGCTGAATTGGCTGAAATTACATTATTACCCTCATTGGATACAGGTGGTAGGCTTGTAGGCATCAATCAAAGCCAAGCAATGCAATAAATTTGTTAATGAATGCATACTCTGATAGACACGAGGTAAAAAATTTCATTATACAACAAATGTAACTAGTCTTTTTTCATTTTTTGATATCATGAAAAAACTGTTGTTTCTTTTTCACATAATTTGATTGTATTTTTCATCTGTACAGGACAACTTGGAATTCTTTGGATGATATTTTATAATTGAGACTTACTGTGTTCTGCATTATTGATAAATTTATGTATCTATTAATCAGTAAGGCTTATTGATGCTCAATTACTTCAAGGTAAACAATTTACAAAACTATCATTGACCACTCTTAAAACTTTTGTTATTATTATTATTATTATTATTGACTAGTTTACTCTCATGCTACTCTCATCGTAAATTTGTAATGACAAAAATAGCATGCCACTTTCATTTTTAATCAGAAGTAACATGCTACTTTTAGTGTTATATCAAAAATAGCATGCTAATTTCATTTTTAAAACAAAACTTGTATGCTACTTTTAGTTTTATGACAAAAATACCATGCTGCCTTTATTTTTAAGGAAGCATACATAACAAGTTTGTAAAGAGGTGAATAATATATAGTTTCTCTTCTAAATAAACTGTGAGTGCATGTAACAACCAAGTGGCTATTTCTTTTAAATTGAGGCTGCATGTTTGTGAGGCACTTACATTAATGAGAGATGAATCAAAAGAAGCAGATGTTGCATCTATGATCCAAATAGTGAACCATAATTCTTGTTTAAAAAGTTGTGGAATTTTGTTGACCTTAATCTTATTACAGGCATTTGATCAATTTGTATAGTAATTACAGGTGAATGGCATCCCCCCTGGATTTATTTCAACTCATATAATTGTTAAATCTTGGGAAATACATTTAGAAAAAACTCTTGTTCTCATAATTACAGACATAAACATCTATTTCCAATAACATGATTAATATTTCATAACTTCTGCCATATGAATTGTTGGTTTTTAGGGAAGTAACAACCATCACCTTGTTTGTTCACCAAAAACCAGATGAAATTGTTGGATGACATGTTTGATTTTACATAACAGTGTATATGTATGATAGGAACTTTATGTATTTTTCAGTTATTAAGGCTTATTGATGCTCGCTCATCTAGGTGTTTGGTTATTGCAGTGTTGTCGTGAATGCATTGAAGTCATCTAAGAGAGACTTTTTAATGTTGATGCATTTATTGGTAAGAGGCAAACATTACTAAAAGGTAACAACTTACATAACTTTAATTCTTCAGCACTTTTAGTTTTCTGTACATTAAAGACTATAATATTATCTAATCTTTCAGGAGAGAATGCATATCCTATGCTATGTGGGATAGATTAGTATTTAACAAAATGAAAGACAAACATGGCCATCACCCTTGTCTTCTGATGTCATGGATTTTCTTAAAGTGTAAGCTATTTTAAGGTGCTAACTGCAATTGTTTTTCTTATTATGACATTAATTATACCTTTAATAATCTAATGATTTATATTGTGGTTAGTTTTTTTTACTCTTTTTTCATTGTTTAATTATCTATTTGAAAAATAAAAAAGCGTATGGTATGTACAGACATGAGATACTTTTTTGTGTATGCAGCTTAAGATGGACCTACTTCCTGTTATCTGGTTTCATCAGAAGAAGAGTCTTAATACTAAGTTATATTGTGATTTTGCTGTGAAGTTGCATCATATACATATAGTTATTATATACGCAACAAACTGTATTTTTGGAGAAAATATGCAAATTTATGCAACATTTTAGGATTATAACATTGTTAAACGAGAATCAGATCTCTTTGCAATCCTGATAACTGGTCCAAATCTTCACTTGCATCCATCACAAAGAAAATATAAATTTATAGGGCTTCGCTGTTATAACAACTTAGAGTCCATGTTGCTTATTATAAAGATTGTTATTACGAAAGCTGAATTTACCTCTTAATGCTTTTAAATCTGTCTGAATGTAAAGATATGATGTGAAAATCAACCAAAACTTACAATGAAGAATCCGATAAGGAAGGCCAAATGAGCAATCTCTTATCATTCCTGTTTGTGTATTTCCATAAAAATCGTATGCCTGGTATTTCTTTTCAAAAGATATTTTCTATTTAGTCAATTCTTTTTTTTATTTATAAAGTGTACTTTTTAATTAATATGGAAAGGAAATACCACATGGTGTGGGTTGAAATATGCTAAAGACAATTGGTCAATATAATGAATGAGGTAATAATCAAATCTCTTTTGTGATTAAAAAATTTATTTACATATATGAGAATGCTGGTAAAAAACTTCAATTTTTTTTTGCAGGAATCTCTTCATTCAGCTGTGATGATTGAACAAGCATCTTATTAATTTAGCCAAACCAAATACATGTTAAGAAAGTATGGATTTCATCTCATTCACTATATTATACTTTCTTCATTGAAATTGTATATATTTGGAAAAAAAACACATTTGTTTTGCATCACCATAGTTACTGATTTTGTTGCTGTGGTAGTGATAGAACAAGGGCACAGTGTTGTTCTTCTAGAGAAAGGGGAATATTTTGCTCTAAATGCATCTAAGATTACTACATTATACTTTCTTCACTGTAATAAGATTACAAGTATTTGATGGAGCTATTGCCTGATGTTAAGTAGCTTATTGTTATTTTCTTAAGGCGGATTGGGATTGAGATTGGGTATAAATACATTATATAATTTTTCTGTATTTATTTCTACAGATACAAATAAATATTGAGAAGCAGCTACAGCTTAGCCAACTATTGGTTTTGTGTCTGTTGTATATTAATTTCTCCTTGTTGCTTTTTATAAGTTGGATTGTATAACATTGCAACAGGAATCCTGTATTGGAATTGTTGATCATGCATATTTATTATAATGTTGAAGTTTTAAATCCTCTTTTTAATGCTGCATTTATTTTATTAAACTGCAGTTAATCTTTGTGAATCAGTCTTCTGCGCATGCCACAGACATTGGTAAGTGTAAGTTTCAGCCTTTAAAACTTTTAAAAAAATGCTTAAATTTGTGATTAGTTGATGATAGTGGGCATCCATGATGTGTTATCAAATAATTGCACTGATAAGATTGTTTAGTGTTAGTTAATAGGTGGTTGGAGGGATAGCTGAGCTAGTGCCATCTGTGAAGCATCACCAATTTAGTGTTTGACTTTCACTAACTCTGTCTTCTTGTTATCATGAAAACAGACATGAGTTTCTGATATGAGCTGGTTAATCTTTTCATGATTTCTGCCATTTGATTGCATATAAACTGGTGCTTCTACAGAAGTAACAAACAACCAGATGATGTTGCTACATTATGGTATACGAGTGCTTTCTATTTTCTTATTCATTTTTTTTTTCATGTCTACCAAAGTTGAATCTTTTCCTTCCACTCTTTCCTTTTCCTACGGAAGCTTGTCTGCAAATGTTACTGGTGGAAGTCCTGAAATTAAGTTGTATCCATCGGATAATGCCATTTGTTTCATCATATATTATTTCAGTTATCTTCCTTTGGCGTACTATGGAAGCTCAGTTGGATTTTACCAAGGAGTAAGAAACTCAAGTTTATGTATGATAATGATTTGATCACATAAGTCAAAACTGTTATTTCTTTTTGATATAATGGGGGATTGTATTTATTTGTGTTTGAAGTTGTTGGTTGGATGACATGGCGGAATTGAGACTTACTATATAACAGAGTGGAAAGACTGTTGTTGGTTTATGATAAATTTGTGTATTTTTCAACTAGTAAGGCTTATTGATGCTCAGTTAGGTGCGTGGTTACTGCAGTGAAGTGGTCTGAGAGAAAGACCGTTTAATAATGCAAAGAGGCAAGCATTACTTAAAGGAAACAATTTACAATGTTTTCTTCACAACTTTGTTGACCAAAAGTGATATTGATAAATATTAAACAAGTAAGGAAGGTGTGGAGTGCACACTTATTTAAGTTTATTCAAGATTAAAAGTAGACTGTCATTTAGGGGGCAGCGCCCTAAGGAGCGGGGTCCAAGGGGCAAAGCCCTTTGCTGGTATTAATCCAAATGTAGAATATTTGACCTGTTTTTATGCTTGGTATTAATCCTTATAGAAAATCCGGATTTATGACAGTTTTCAGAAAAAGGAGGTATTTAACCAATTTTGGTCAGTTTTTTCTGGTACTTACGAAATTCATATATCTAATTCTCTGTTCTTTTCTCTTTTGAGTCTTATCCAATCAAAGAGTAGAGAGTACCACCCAATTTTTTGATTTGATCACAATTCTCAGTATATCCAAGTGCCTTTATTACCCATAATTTCTAACAACCTTTATGTTTTCCGTAATTTAAAGATTATATATAATCTGTCTGATATTTTGTCATTCAGGCAAGAATACATCTCCTATGCTATCATTGATTTTCTGAAAGTATAAGTTTTTTTAGGGCCAAATGCAATAAACAACTTACTTTCATTTGTTTGTGTTTTATAGCATCCTACTTTCGTTTCTTTCTATTATAGTATTGTACTTTCAATCTGATTTTCTAACTACACCAGTTGTAGTGCAACTTAAAACAAAAGGAAATTACATAGTTTTTTTGTAGTTATGTTGATCTTTTCCCATAACTTTTTTTTTGGGTTATTTTCTTGTATGTCTGGTAGGTTTGTTTCAAAGTGTGTTTTTGTTGATACTTTGATAATGTTTTGTGTGTGGGTAAGCGATGCATCACCTAACTTTTTACTTGTTTCTCTTCCATTGATTTTCATTTTACTAATTCTCTGGTCAAAATCTTGGATCTAGTCATGGCTTGAATGTGTTAGGTTTACCATATTGTATGTAGTTTGTTGGTTTGTTTATGAGGTTAAAACATCTTTTAGGTTTTTATTAACATTTTTACTCGAATCTAATCTTATTGTAGTTTTGGCTAACAACAACAACAATGTTATCTCCCCTCGCTCCCCTAAACCAGAATCACATGGTTTGTTGATGAGGATGAAGACATCCATTCTTGATTTGAATCGAACACACTACTACTAAACTTGTATGATTCTTGATTCTTGGTTATATTTTTTTCTAAATTTTAGTTACATAATAACAATAACATGAGTTAGTTAATCTTTCATGATTTATGCCATATGAATTGGTGCTTTTCAGGGAAGTAACAACCATCAATCACCCTATTTGTCTACCAAAACCAGATAATGTTGCTACAATACGCATACAAGTCACTTATGTTTTTTTGTTTCTTTTCAATTCTACCAAAGTTGGAACTTTTCTTACCATAAGTGGAACTTATTCCATATTGATAAATGATAAGATTGGGGAAACCTGATTTCTAAAGTTACTGGTGGAAGTCTTGAAATTAACTTTTCTTACCATAAGTGGAACTTTCTTCAGCACTTCAAGAATATAATATCTTTCAGGAAAGGATGCATTTCCTATGGTAGATAGATTACTATTTAACAAAATATGAGACAAACTTGGCAATCACCCTTGCTTGTCTCCGAAGTCATGGATTTTTAAAGTGTAGAGCTAACTGCAATAAATAACAACCTACTTTCATTTCTTTTATTACAGTATTATACTTTCAACTTTTTCTTACCAAGACTTTGAAATATTTACCCAATTATAGCATACTACTTTTAGTCTTTTAGCTATATACTTTTAGATGTCTACCCTATTATAGCATTCTACTTTCATCTTTTTTTCTTATGCTTTGAAAATTTTACCCACTTATAGCATTGTTCTTCCGGTTCTTCTTTCCTATTGTGACATTACTTATCCTCTGAATAATCTACTCATTTATACCATCCTACATTCCACTGTTTTGCATTATAGTCTAAAAAATGTACCTAATTAAGCTGTGAAATCACTAGGCTGGTAGAATTTTGTAATGCTCTATGTAGATGCTAAGGTATAGAACATTCTATTATGACATTATACTTTCATAATCAGTATCTTAACATGTTATGTTTTCACGTTTTGTCCATATATGAACGGTATAGAACATAACACATTTTATAAAAGGAACATATGTTCATATATGAAAATATGTCCATAAATGAACATAAGTTTGTGGGTTAATATATGATGGCATATCCTTGATTGCCATAGTCATCTAAAATATAGCTTTTAAGTGTTAATTACACATACATTATTCAATAATACATTGGGATTAAAAATTAGATTAAAAGGTGGATTTTGTCTAATTATGTTGAACCTTTGGTTAATCATTTGGTAGAACATGGG